TTACATGCATACATGTATGTAAAAACCCATCTATCTGAAATAAGTACATGCTATGTGTGCTTGCAGTCTAAATGATAAAGATAAATTTAAAAAAAAGAAAAAAAAAGAATTCTAATTAAGTTTTAATTTTGATTTAAGCTAGAGACAGTTTAAGAAAAGAAATGAAAATGGCTTTATTAATTACAGGATTCAAATGACAATGATATATTTACAAACAGAGACTAAACACTGACTTTATAAATATACACTTGTAAACAGAAGATATATAGGCTTGGTAGTGTTTGTAGTTGGGGAAGGGAGTGTTTGATTTGTATAACCAAGTGTATACATCTACAGATAACTCACACAGTTATTGCGTAATACACTGCCTATGTCATGTCGTTCTGGGTGCTGTGTCACTTATGATGAAGATAAACATTGATCTGGGTGATAGACTCGTGTAAGTCAGCGGCAAAGAATTCTAATATTTCCTCACATCATGATTTTCATCAAAATGACAACAATAATAAGAATTGTTTTGATACTTACAAGTTGTATAGTTTCATCATTCATTAAGCGTAAGATTGTGTCCTGCAATTCAAATTTTTGTTAAAATGCATAAAGGCAAGTAACCTAGCTGGTATGGGTTTTTTTTATAACATGGAGATTAAATATGTATGTTTTTACTTGAATAGATTGTTTATTGTTTAAAGTTTCATCATTTCATAATGAAAAACATTAATTGTCATTTTTGTCATAATGTCCACCCATTTTCTCAAAATGATTATGTTATTGTTACAGTATGGGTATATGTATTTTATGGAATGTATTTTTCAGAAATCTTCACTTATACATGCACCAAAACACACAATTATAAATACAGACATTTACATCATACATGCATCATTTAATTTTTGCTGTTTTAAGAAAGAAATTAAATTCGCAACTGAAGATAACAGGAAGAAAAACTTGTTTTTTATTTCCTTACAAAACATGATGAATTAAAAATTAAAATGGGCTTCTGGGTAGCCTTGAGTAAAGATGCAATATGAAATACATGTAGTATGTATTTCATGTGTTGGTGTGGATAAGCTTTATAGCAGTAATATATACCATTAATTTGTTACCACCTTAGAAAAATAACATAATAAAAAAATAATAAAATAAATTCATGGTAGTAATTTTGAATATATGATATTTCTCATTAAATTATATGGTGTATATTTCAAGGAGTTGGAATTAATCCAACTATCAAGTGTACAAATGTACAAAAAATTTGATAATTTTTTTTTAATTGTCATCAATCGTGTAAGTTAATCCATGTATACTTTATATGTATATTAGTTGCAAGTAGATAAAACTAGTGCTATACTTGAGTGAAAATACATATATTAGTTATATACATGTATACTTTGAACCAAAACAAGGGAATCTAAGAAATGGAATTTAATTTTCGAGAATTCATGAGGACATGAACTATGACGCTTCATGCTGGCATATTTCATGAAGTGCGTTAGCGCTTCATGATAAATATGCAGGCATGAATCGGTGTAGTTCATGGACCTTGTGAATTCTCAAAAATTAAATTCATTCCTTTTATTTACATTATTTTTCTGATGATTTGCGAAATATTTTTGTCATTCAACGATCATCTTTGAAAAAAAAAAAGTTTGCACTATTTTTACTCATCCCATCATTATCATGTAGTTCATGAGAACAGGAACTTTAATTTTCTAATTTGCAAAGAATCTGAAGGAAAAATATTTTGAAATGTAAATATAAAAATATTAAGCCATGAACCTGTAAACTATAGCATTATTAAATTCATTCCAATACACAGAAATGTTTATTAAATATATATAATTATGTAATTCTGTCTATTTACCTGTACCATAGGTATATATATTTATTTCAGAAAAATATACAGATATAATAAATCTATAAATTCACAGACCAAAGTCCAAAATCTAAATTTAACCACCAGGCAAATATATATATATACATAGGGACAAATATATGATGTCTGTTTCTGCATGTTATCAAATGATGTCTTTTTGTCATAGAAATGTAATGTACTTTGTCTTATTTGATATCGATTAGTGCATTTAGCAAGGAATTGCAAAATGACAGGTTAGTGTCTAATTTCACATTTGCTTACTTATGTTTTAATTATAAAAAAGAACAAGTAACCTTGGACTCAAATACATGTACGTGTAAAGTACACTGAGATTATTATTGGGATGTACTTTTCATACACATGCCGTTTTTAACATATTGAAGAGTAATTTCTCATCTTGTGGTGGTCTTGTGTTAAGAGGTTGATAGCATAATACTAATATATTATATAGGAATAATGTCACCAAGGTTTTAGTTTAGATTTATGCTGATTATCCTTGAAAAGATAACAAACCATCACAGATAATGGGATTAAGTAAACTGGAGATTTTTTTCTTTGCTGACATTAACAATTAAAGGGTAAGACAGTGAGAATTTCAGAAGCACTTTAAACAAAAGGTTTAATCCAGGTTTTGCATTGATCGATTTACATCAAACATTTTAAAATTTTATTATTGTACAATTGTTGGATTAATAGACTATATTAGATACATTTTTTTTAATTGGTACATGTATCTAGATGATCTGACTATTTTTATGTCCAAGGAAAAATTAATCTGTTATATTTCGCTTATGAAGAAGGCACCAGCCATGGGCATTGACAAAGATAATGAAGGTGTATAGTATAAATGATATATACATGTACTGGGTATGTAATGAAAATTCACATAGAGAGTCCAGTTTTCTAAACTTCAGTGATAAACTTCAGTGTAATGTTGTCTAAGTTTATGACTAAATTAAGATTCATACATGTTTAGATTAGATTAAAGTAATTAGGTACTGATATAGCTATTTAAAACTACTTCATATATTTGATTAAGTGTACTTATAATGTTAAAAAAATTGCAAATTTTACTGTAACATGCATTTTCTGTGTTATTTTGCCTTTAAAGATATTACCTGTAGAATGACTTTTAATAACAAAAATCCATATAGTCATTGATAAAATTTAATTTTAAACAAAGTCTCAATTTATCTTGTTAGATCATAATAGGTTATTGTGAACTAGTCTCTACAGGTTGTAGCCAGTATTTAGAGTTTAAGGGTTTGGTTCAAGCCAAAAATGTTTATATTTTCTCACGACAGATAGATTTGCTTGCACACACAGATGTGCCCTGATTTATGTTGTTATTTATCTCAAGCTTTTACTTGAGACAGATGTTTCGGAATGGTTCTTTGCCGTGACATTTTTTTCTAATCCTAAGAAATATTCATCCATTTTTTTTTTTTTTTTTTTTTTGATACTAGTGATTGAATGTGCTGGAAATTTTTATTTGTAGGCTTAAAATAATATTGTTAACAAAAAGTCACACAGACTTTAAAAGTTGAATTTTGAAAAATCTGAAGGTGTTAAATGATACCTTTTTGTTTCAACAATCTTTTGAAATATAATCTTTTAATTTTATTTAATTTATATAAGTTTATGAAATTTAAGTTAATCTGTATGATATTAAAGGCAGGCCAGTTAAAAAAAATCTGGGTTTTTTTCCTATTATTTTTTTCTCACCATTTTAAGTGTTCTAAGTTCTGCCCAATGTGCTTTTAAATGATTTTGTACATCTTAGAGATATTGAATGGGTGCGTTCTCTGTTAAACACCAAAAACCACATTGTATAACCAAGTTATTTGCACTTCTGTTTTGCAATATTTATTTCATCAACTAATTTACATATCTGGTACAGTACAGTATGTTTGTAAAAAAAATTCCATTCTCTGTACAAACACTTGTGTGATGTTAAAGCATAACGTTCTACAGCCTTGATGTAATAGGATCGAGTCTCATCCATATAATGTCATTCTGTGCTTAGTAAAGTGCATTTTGTGCATGTTAGTTGCTAATTAACTATGATTTATGGGATTTTTATGTGATTTCTGCCGTGAGTATTTAGCCAATCGAAGCAGTATTTGTTTGCTGCCTTATCTAATTAATGTATTTTATGTATTGTGTTTGGTTGATCAAGAGTACTTTTTTATATATATTTTCTTTGTGCATGTGTGTATTGTTAGTTTTGTTTTTTTTTTAAGAATAGGTAGCAAGGGTTTGTTGTAAAATGCAATATTATGCATAAAGTCCACATATAAAGCTTGATTTGAAAAAGCAGAACCTTGAATTTGACATTAATTGATGTGTATGTTGATCTTGTACTCTCTCGTAATGTGATAGACGTGAAATTCTTTATCTCATGTTCCAGACTTTCTCTTCAAAAGTTTGTTGATTCTTGCTATTTTATATATATATATTCCGGTCCCTATAACATATCCCTATCAATATCATAGTTTTCTGTTGCATTGTATTAGGAATGGGGGGATTTTTTTTTTCTTTTAGGTATTGTCATAATTTAATTTGAGCAGCGGCAACAGTACAGTATAGTATATTGATTGACGTACAATGTTTGGCTTTAGTGTATATGTTCAAATGTAGATCCTCAAACATATTCTGACTCCAGTTAGGAAAGTTGTGGCATTTTCTTTCATGATAATAATGATTTTTATTTCCAGAAAAAAAAATATTGAAGGATCTCGGAAAACAAACTCCTGCTGGACTCTTGGGCATATCGCATATCATAGTTTATTTTTTTATGCCTTAATTTGACCTATAGCTTAGATCCATATTCAACATGTTCAATTTATTGAGGTCTGAATCTGAATACAGATAGAGAATGGATAAAAAAAGCATTAATTATTGCATGTTTTTTTTTAAATATCTTCATGATCTTTGGGACTAACAAAGAGACAGACCTAATGAAAATCTCTTCTTAATTCTTTCAAGACTGCTGACAAAGCTATTGACATTTCAACTCCCTTTTAGGCCTACATTTAATTAACTAGTACATGTATTTCTTATATAAGAGTCATTAGGTGATAATGTACTTCTCTATTTTTAGGTCACCTCCACACTGCTGGGGAAAGGATATAAGAAATCTGAAAGGTCATCTTCGCCTACCCTCATACATTAGAGGTGTCCCTGTGTCTCGCAGGGGAAGTCATTAAGAATTCAAGACGCCGTTCGCACTCAAAGTCCAGATTGTGTACAAAGGTAAATTCATTGATCTTTCTTTGTTTTGTATCAATAGACTGCATGTGTATATATTTATACATGTCAAAACTTTGCATACATGTATAGTAATTAGGAGTTTTACTCGGGTGTATATTTTCATTTCGTAGGTGGTGCAGTAGACACGGTGCAAATAAATGCACAAAGCCTTATGGTCATTGATTAGTTTTCTCTAGTTAGTATGTGCTTATGTTGGTGGTTAACCTTCCAGTATGTTAAACTTCTTCTGGTAGGGTTATGTCCCTTGGTGAGGTTCTGCACCTATTACACTATAAGCATATTTTATAGTTGTGAAGCCATTCATTCATACTAACTCAAAGCAACACCATCCTACCATTCCTTAAATTGTTACCGTTATAACGGAACTATATAGTTAGTACATGTACTAAACAGCTAGTATATGCACTGTTGACTGATGATTCACAGAGCACACTGAGCTCATGCCAGAAGAGGCATTTTATACTGAAAGGTTACATTTATCTTTTAATTATTATTTTAGTCCTCATGCAGACTTTATTTTATGAATTTATATGCAAATTTTTAAATGAAATATGATTGTAAACTGAAGGATTATTAAGGGAGAAGGAGTGTATTTACATTAGCATTCATTTCAAGTCAGAAAATTAGCTTCTAATTATGACATCATGATGTCTATCAAATGTAGGAACACCACCGTGGTAGATGGGAACTGATTTGATAACTCGATATTCCTGCCAAGTTTTAATTGAATAGAACGACATTGTTTACAACTTCAAGGAATAGAGAGAAGGAAGAAAATTGAATACCAGTGAGGGAAGCCAGTGTTTGTTACTTTGATGTCTCATTTTTTGTTGATCATCACTTGAGTTATTGTAAAATTCTTGCTTTACACTGATAACAGGATATAGACATGATGTAACCATAAGTGGATCAAGGTCATGATAGATTAAAAAAGATAAAAAAAAATCAAAAGATAATATTTGCTGTGCTGTAGTCAAGGTTATAGCTTGGTCTTTTGAATGTACCCGTACTATGAACAGCATCGAGAGGCTTCAGGTTAACTAGTTCCTGTCTTCCTGGATGTTTCCTATCTTGGAAACAAACTCCTAGGTAAAAGCTGTAGATGATTCTTGAATGGAGACCTTGTGGTATTCAATAGGGTCTGTACCTAAAGCTTTATACTGAAAGAAATAAACATGTGCGTTCTCACGAGTTGTTCATGGTGATCTGACTATTAAATTTTTTTAGTTTATATAATCTTTAATATGTAAGATAATTTTATAGAAGTTCCTATCATTCCAATATATTAAGTAATAGATTCATTTATTAGACTCTGGAAACAATGATAACCTAATTTTGTGAAATTCTGTGACAGAAGTCGTTGTTTGTTAAAGTTATAGAGAGAGAGCTATGTTTGTTTCTGTTGGCTCTGAAAAGTAAACAAGGCTACATGAGAACGTGAAGATAAGTACTGAACAGATTTAAAAGTATGTCAATTGTTGTGCAAGTCAATTCAAGATATACTAATTCATTTACTACGTGTAAATGCCTCTGTTTTCTCAAAATGGAAAAATTTTATACAGGGTCCAAAAAATCTTGTGGAAGATTTTAGGGAATAAGGAACTCAATGGACTCCGTGTTTGGATTTGTACTGTCTGGAAGGTTATTGTAACATTGACTGAGATTTTCATGTATGGGTTCCTCGTGGAGAAGCAGGAATTTAGGTGTCATGATTTGACAGCGTGTCCCTTCTGAAAAGATTTTGGTCTTGTTCTTGATAGGGTGTTATTCCCCGGATTTTTTCTTGTGTGTTTGAGGTAGGAAATTCCGTATTGTCTAAATGTTTAAAAGGTTTAATAAATAGCATATTTTATATGCCATTTTCCAACCAATATGCATTTATGAAAATTGTTTAAATCTACATGTATATATTTAACAGTTGGCCCAACCATTGCGTAATGTTATAAATATCTGCATTGCCTAGATGTCATTCTCCTGTGTATCATAAATTTCATTGCATGCTATTTGTAATTAGATTAAGTTTCATATTAAAAAAAATCAATAGGATTTCCTGATCAGCAAATTAATGAATACACGGTCAGCAGCTGTAATAATTGTAATCAATAGAAACTAGAAGATTTGTTAAGTCAATGTATAACATTCTAAATCGTAATAAATCCAGGCCTGGGACTTCAAAGCAGAAGGAGGTCAAATGATGAAGTTTCATAGGTGACTGTTTCGGCCACTATGGTATGTGAGAGCATACTTCAGTGTTAATGGTAGGGACTGTGCAAAGTTAAGTACTAAATGAAGGCAAAAAGTAGAAAATGAGGCATGTGTATCTCCGGTGTATTTATATATATTTTGTATATATATATAGATATCCTAAGTGGTATATTCATATTCACACACTGAGTTAAATGTATTGTTTACTGTTTATGGTTCGCTTGATTATGTAATATGTTACTCGTGTAATGTGAATATAAGTCGGTCACATAGATTATAGTATTTCAAGGACTTTGATGTTTTTTTAATTTTTTTTTTTTTTAATATTTCTAGAAGTAAATGTAATTGGATGCTTTCTGATATTTTTTGCTACAGAGGGACAATTTATGACGTAGCATCATGGCTTTCTTGGGAAGAGATAACCATGAAGATCTTGTAAGTATATATCTATATAGCTTTCCTATTTATTGGCTGATTTTGATACATTGCATATACTTTGGATAATAATTGAGCTTGCAGTGCATACACTGTACGCCTAGTTCCAGTGGGGATACTCTTGATTTATGGCATATTGTAGAAATTTTTTGCAAGTCACTAGAAAACTTTGCAAATTATGAAGGAACAAATGATATATCAGTTCCCTGTTTCTGAAGTTACTTAGATGATGAAATTGACACCTTCATGGTAAATAATCTTCTTGAATTGTCTATTATTCTACCACAAATCCATGATGTCATGATGTACCCATTTTAATATAGTTACAATCACAAATGAGATGTAAAATTTCCAGTATATACACTTATGTATACCTTTGTTTACTTTGGATTCTGTGGATACACACTTCTGTCTCAATATAAGTATTGTTGGCAAATAAAACTTTACCATTGGGTTCAATTTATTAAGTTTTCAACAGAGATTCTTCACATTAATATTTATTTCTTAATCATCCAACTGAAACTCAAACCCAGAACCTCTGCTTTCTGTATATGTTCATGTTTTCTACCTGAGCCAGTATATAGGCTAATTAATGTTTTGATCAAATCCCCTTTGCATATGGATATATTAATGTTACCTGATCAGGACCACCTAAAATCTTGAGGATTAACAGACTAAGCAAGACACAATGCCATTTTTATCTCTTCATTGTGACACAGAATCACAGGTAAAACTGTAGATCTGATGTATTGCTATAAAGGTATAATGATCGTAAAAATGACAGTTTATAAAATAAATTTTTGTTCAAGTTATCATTTGTAGTCCAAGTATTTGTAATCTTAGCTCTGAAACTGTAAACAATCATGTCATTTAAGATCATTTTTCTTCAAAAGAAGATCGAGACAACTTCTTAACAACCATTGAGCAATGATTCTTCCCATCTCTCAGTCAACAAGAATGTTGTTGATAGAGAGCGCCACATCTATAAGTCTTGATTATTTCTCACCCTCCCTTCTTCTGTGTGTTATAGGTAATTGCCCCCTAATTTGTATACCTAGCATTTTGTGTTTTCTGATGGATGTCTTTGTGTGGGAAGAAACTTAAGTCGGATCAGAGAAGGTATTTGGAAGAGTTCCGGGAGCAGTATACAAAAATCTAATTATATGGAGGCTTCAAGCAGAATTTAGGGCGTTGACACACTGTTTTTAATTTGACTATTATGTCATTTTTAAATATTTATGTTTTTTTCTGCAAGCACACTGTGTCGTACAGTCTTGTTTATTAATGTCAGTAATCGTACATAGAAATGTTTAAATCACTGATTATCTGATAAATAGAGAAAAATAGCAGGTATTGGAATTATTATCAACAGGTCAGTGTATTGTGGATTTATCTTCTAAATATAGGCTACCTGAGATAAAAATAGTCATAAACAATAATTCACAGAGCATTATGACTCGACCTATGACTGTGTGTTATGTACTGTTTGCAGATCTTTGGTGGTTTTGAGTTGGAGTCATTGCACCTTTAACTGTTTCTTGGTCAATAGCTATATATTTCAATCACCTTCATAAAACTAATTAACTTTGCAGAAGAAAAACTTGCACTGATAAATATATATAAGGTATTGCACTATTACAAGACCCTCTGAAGTACACAGTGAACAAACAAGATAGTAAATATACCATTGGTGTATCACTGATAACAGAATATAATGCTTACCTTGTTATTAGATCAAGGTAAAGTTAATTAATTAGATGATTAATTACGGAAGCAGCTATTTGGTGTGCCCTTCGGAATTTGTTTTTTGGTTTTCCACATTCATTTCGACCAGGTGACGTCTCTCAGGTAGAACAAACAATGTGAAATTGACATAAATTCGTTTGTAAGACGATTCATGCTGTATATCAACAAATTTGTTGGACAGTAAATTTTCAGTGATCTTTGGAAGTCATAGGAGTTAAAAAGAGTCACTTGTGACAGCTATAATATATGAGCCAAGTGAAATTAAATTGAAAAAAAGGAAGAAATTTTCTAAGGCAAACTATAGAGACAGGGGAATAATAATCTTGTAGGTAAGACTATTTCACAGTTAGATTTTTGTTTTGTATTTTAAAATAGAAATTAACATGGAAATAAAACAAATATGTGTGCAATTGTAGTGCAGATGAGTAACGGATTGGTGCAACACTGATGTGAATACAGAGATGATAATTACTTTTAAAAAATTTAGACAATTGGATTACCTTCAGGTTACTTTATGCTGATTTAACTTGACTTAACGTTCATGATATTTTATTTTCCTATTCCTGTACAAAAATAAACAAGGAAAAACATCTATGTTGCAAGACAGACATGGGAGATTTAAAGCCAATTAAGTAGAGTATGAATTGGGTTTTATAATTATGCAAGTCATCAGTCATGTGTTGTTTTTTTTTTTTAGGAAAAGTAAAAAAAAAAGTTGTGATACATATTTGTTTGTAATACTGTAATACACATATTTTTAAGCTTACAATATGACATTTTAAATAGGAAATATAGTAATTTTTTGAGTTATGATCAATCCCTCTATAATCATGAAAGATGAACAGTTGAAATGACAGATGAAAATTACATGCATCAGCATAAAACTTCTAAAACAGTAATGGACAAAAAGTGGCCCAGCAGATCTGACATTTAACTCCCTTGTATGGACTAGTTGTAAAAGAAGACAACCCCCCCCCCTCCCCCCACACTCTCTTTCATCGCGATCGTCTTTTGATCGTAGAGTAATTTATTGAAAGGTCAAAATGAGATCATTGTGTGAGGAATAGAGGTGACACTATGGTATCTAGTATTCTATTATTTTTAGTAATATACATGACAAGGAAGGGCCTTATTTCAAATTCAGTCGACAGTTACCTATAAATATTTAATGAGTGGGGCTAATTTTATCCATATAAAGTTTATTAGGAAAAATTAAGTCTCAAGTGGTATCATGGTATTTTATCTTAAGGTCAGGAACTTTTTTTTAGGAATACATGCTGAAGTTTAGCTTACTCAAGGGCTTGTTTCTAAGTTGTATCAAGGCTACAGTGGAATTTAAGTTTATATGTTGAGATGGGAAATGTGGATTTGGTTTTTGTCAACTTAGCAATCTTCAATTATAGATGTACTTACATGATGTCTAGATGAAAAAAAGCAACGTTATATGAGATGTATCAGGCTGATGGTACCTGTATTGTCAGAACATATTGGATCAACTTTTGAATTACTGATCTTGAAAATATGATATGTGATCAAATGTTGAGATGATTTAGCTATATGTTAGAACTTTTTTTTTATCTGGTGCTCTTGTTTGTGGCATGGGACGTAATTTGTCTCTGTTATGTATAATCTAATTGTGTCAAAAAACCAGACAACCAATAAAGCAGAGAATTAATTCTCTTATAAATATTCATGTCTTCCAGTGCCCTATTGACCACAGTCTGTTTCTCATTATAGAATTATAATCCGGACCAATCCACGGGTCCCAGACAAGTGAATTCCACCTCCTTTCTGCTGAATGCTACCCAGGAATTAGACGGAGAACATTCCCATTCCTCACCAGGGGTTTTGACACGTTCCCCCACCACCCCAGATATGCCCCGCCAAGACCATTCCCTGGACCACATTGTGGATTTGTTTGATGATGTGCAGAAGATATTTGAACGTTATCCCAGTCCCAGGTTTGATGTCACCGATTTGTCTGCGGGATCGGAGTTGTTGCCATCAGAACATGTCACATCAAGGGACGGAGATCGGGTGATTCCTGCAAAGGATGCTATGATGTACACAGAAGATGATTTTAGCAGTAAGTGGTGAAAAAAAAATAAGGTCCATTTCATAACTGATGAAATACATGTACCATAAAACATAACTGAACACAACCGAACAACAAATTCATTACTAAAATTGAATGTTTATTCACAAATTATTTCCAGTGTCATGATTTGCTATTGTCTTAGTGTATAATGACCAATAAGATCTCCTTTTGATCCAGTATTTTGAAATAAATCAGTTGAGTGGCTGGTTGACATGACAAACATTTTGAGGAAAAGCCAGATATCTTTAAATGAATTAAAATTAACAATATGTAATAATTCTGAACTTTGAGGTTATACCAGTACATATAGTCTTTTTGTAGGAAGGACTATATAATATATTACATATACTGATGTTCAATAAACAACTTGATGTGCAAATATTAATAACATGTTTTTCATTGAAATGTAACCAGAAGAAACCAAGACACCAGAAATATCTTACTAGCTTTTCTCTATCATTTTAAAGGGATGTTTAATCATTTTCAGAATGGTAATATACATTTAATTATAGAGGCACTGTCATATCAAACATGTACATTGGTGCTTCAGTGAATTGACTATTTTATAGTAGGTAGTTGTGATTTAATGTATGTATAATGATATGTCGCAAAACTTTGGCATTTGAAAGTTTTTGTTTAATTAGGACATGTCCATTAAGACATGTTAAATTAAACTAGTAAATGTATTTGTAATGACCTTAGCTGTGCAATAGTTGATCTATGCACTCACTTGATTTAAAATCTTTAAAAATAAGTTTACTGTAACATTGTTTAAATTTAAACATTTTACTGTAACATTGTTTAAATTTATTAGGCCATAGAAGTAATTCCTTCCCGCACATACATCACCCTTTGCGGCCACTGAGAAGCAAGTCTCACAAAAATGTCCGGCATTCCGACCACCATAAAAAGAAAAAGAAGAAGAAACGAAGGATGCATGTGAATAAAAGCTTCCCGTCCAAATCTGCCGTACAGTCGCCACCAATTCCCGAGGATGATGAAGAAGAGGTGAGGATATAAATTAATTATTAATGAATGTTTAAAATTTATATCAGTTGGAGATTTTATAAAAGTTTGTAGAATGACTCATTTAGTAACTATCTGTGTTCACAGATGTTAATTTGATGATTGAGAGAGTATATGAAGAAATTTGAAACTTTGAAGTAAAAGTTATCAAAATGATTTTTGTTTAATTTTTATGACGTCGAGCTCTTGGAGCTCGAATGTCATCTAGCAAGCGCCCAGTTGAAATCGCGACCGGATATGTACGCGACCGAATGTGTCAGTCGATGCATCCGCAATAGAAAATAACAATAGCTATAAACCAATTTCTTTGAAAACGCTCAAAATGAATAATACCTTGAAAATAAAATTGCATCAATTATGTCTGCAATTAATTCTATTGCAAAACAACAATATTATGTTTTATTCTCACATAAGAAAAACGTGATGGTTGTTGCGGATGAATTTCTACAGAAAGGGTGCGTTGAATGACATGAATAACATTTCGGAACGATAACCGTGTAACATAAACAACACAACAGGAGGTAAAATAATTACAAAATTACATAAACACGAATTCTACAAGACTAAAAAGATTGAATTTCTAAATCTTAGCTTTACTTATACAATCTTCTAACTAACTCTATCCTAAAAACCGATGATATTGACCAGTATTACTGTATTTCTCCATTTCCTCCATTTCCCAGTATACGGTATACCACGCCCGATCGTAACTCGATCGTAATTGTAACAGAACAGAGTCTTGGTTGTAGTTTAGATGCAATCACTAATACAACGCTTTGACATTGGCAATTAGAAAAAAATATTATATAAATTCATGAAATCCTTCATAGTTCATAATTGACTGAAAAGAATATTTGGCATGAACATGTTTGACGGTGTCTGGTCAATTCGAACCTTGCTCCATTCGGACCATGACATAAGGCCACAGACTGTAATTGTGATATTTTGTTTAAAACTATTTTTTTATTATGTCTCCTGAGTCACTCACTTGACTTATCGCTATCTTCAAATTCAAAATTATCTTTTGAAATTGTTTTTCTTGTTCGACGTCATTGAAGCCTTTCAGGCTTTTGATTAATCTTTGCTAAAATTGTACATTAGTTACATTTGCAAGTGGGGGGAAATTTATCATATGTAATTTATTTATTTTTATTTTATTTTAACAGTATTGTTCTTCATATGATTCCTCGAGTGATTCCTCAATCAGTCGTCGTAATAGCTCCGTTAGTCAGGATTTAGTGGACGCTCCTCTAGTCATTACTGAACAAAGTGACCTTGAACCCTCCTCAAGTGTTGACCTTGACAAGGTTTTGAGAGATGTGTCCCCAGAACCTCCTACCCCCTCGCCTACCAATACACATTTAGAGGCACCTAAAACACCCGAAAGAAAACCTTCTGAAAGAAAGGTACAATAGGTTTCTATAATTTAGTGATCATTTAGAGATTAACATTTAAATAAGTGATAATGTAAGCATATGTTTACATTTAATTTTTGAATCAGTTTGGTAGGTTTACACTAAATTTTAAGATCAATCAAGTGCAATGAATATTGGTCATCTTATTTTAAAGAATTTGTAATATGCAATTTCTGTGAGGAAAAAATGATACTGCGCCTTATAGTGACAAAACAGTTGTTAATTATAAGTATTTCTGTAGTCTTGTCTTTTATTGGAGAAAGAAAAATACAGGTATTTAATATATTTATATACCCTTTTTTAGGTTGCTGATTTTTTCATTGGTGAGAATGAATCCTCCCCACCCCGGGAGACTTTAACACCCTCCGTGGAGAAGAAGCCATTTGTCCCCTCATTTAATGAGATGCTGAGTCAAAGTTCATTTACTACGGAGGAACACTTCCAGTTGTTAGACTTTGGGAACTCTGAACAAGAACCACTTCTGTCTGAACAAGCCCAGCGCAAACCAGCAGGAAGTTCAAGGTCACTTCTGGATGATGGCAGAAGTCGAGTGCATTTCTCTGTGGGTAATGTGCCTATTCTGAAAATAGAAATCGAATTTGGATATATTTTATATGGCAATACATAATGACATTTTATATCAAAGATTAACCAAGTTATATATGAAGTAAAGGAGTCCATATGCATATGCTTGTTTGTTTTGGGAGGGAAGGTTCAAGTTTTCCAGTTTTAATAAACAATTTTAATTTCTGCAGTATTCCAGATCATTTTGAATGCAAAGAACTCAGAATTTAAAGCAGAATTATTTCTTCAGGTGGTGAAGACAGTACAGCAAACTTGCTGAGTATTAAGGGAGATACAGAATCTGTGTCCTCGGACCAATCACAGAACAAACGAAACAGGGCATCATTTAATTCAATGGGCAGTGGAAAGTAAGCCGTTTCAACTGTTTAAGAATTTATGTGATACCATGAGGAAAATTTCATTGGTGATAAACTTGATTCATGAATTAGAAAACTGAAGAACAAATGTTTTTTGACTCGTCTTTTGATAGTAAATAAAAGAAATGTAAAAGATTAAATACAGTGAAATGTTTCAGCATGTTGAGAAGCTAAATCATATTCCTGTAGTTAGATTAATAGTTGAGAAGTTGACTTACATATTAAGGCTTTATGTCCATCCCCCAACACTGTATTTATAGAAATTTGAATTCAAAAAAGTTTTGCCAAATGTTCATTAGAACTTGATCAAAAACTTATATTATCAGTTTTAAATTTCATTCCATTATGTACTAAACCTTTCCCAAACTTTGAATAAATGAAAGAGGCAAATTTAAAAGATTTTTAAAAATAATAAAATCTGGGGTTTTTTTAAGGTCAAGTAAGTCACATAGACACAAACGCCACCATGACCACTACAAGACAGAGGATTTGTTGCTTAGGAGACAGAAAGGCAGTGAGGTCCACCTGGATGTTGTCATTAAGAGCGAGCCAACAGAGGTGGATGAGGCACAGATGTTACACAAAGCCGATCTGGATGAAATGGCCAGTAGGTGGATTCTTCCTGTCTTTTTTGATAAAAAGCAAAATTTTATGAATAAGACACTCATTTTATAAAGACTTCAATTTTATATATGAAAGGATTAAATGTAATTGCATCTTGAAAAAAAAATACTGTAGATTCCTAAGTATGTGCAAGGAATTTACTATCATGTAATTTCATGAGAACACACAAAATAAAATAACTTGCTTTTATTTTGCTGAAATACATGGGGAAAACTCTTGATTAACAGTCTTTTCATAAGTTCATGTTCTTGTGATTTGACTTGTACAAGTCTTGTGATATTTAGTAGTTGCATAAACTAAGGAATTTAAGGTATGCTTACATTATATACATGTATTAATTGACTGTTGATGCTGAATTGTTGGGGAAATCTTCAAAGGTCACCGACTGGATAAGCTTCATGGAATAAGACGGCATCGACTGACAAAGAACCACAGTGCCATGTCATCCATTGTCCACATTGGTAAACACAAGAAAACCAAACACAAGATGTTCCAACCAAAGAAGAAATTCGATCACCGGCCTCATGAAGTACGTTTCATTTTCAAATGTGCATAACTGTACAGCAGGAAATTAACTTGCGGAGTTAATATTTGCTATATTCGCGAAAATATTTATTCCGCAAATTCAACATACAGGGAATAACTCTTTAAAAATTGATAAGGATAAATTGAAAATATTACTGTTATCTGTGATTAGATTCATTAACTCTATTTGGGTTTCTGTGCTAACATAAAAGCAGTAATTAAATATAGCGGAGATATAGACTGTCTTCCTAATTATGCAGGTGTACAATCACTTATACGTAGCTGTTGGTGTTTTTAAAGCTTAATTGATAAATAAATTTCTATAACTAATATTTAATTCTGCCACCCTGTAGAGGTGTGATGTAAATACCTGTAAAACAAGCATTATTAAATTTCACCCATGCGTATCACTCAGTCATTTCCTTCAATCGAGGCACTTACATAGTAAACTTGGTAAAGAAAATACTGTTACACTACATATTAATTTAATTATATTAACAGATTAACATTTTGACTACAATACTGATAACTTTTACTGATTTGGGCGGATTTAAATATACCCCAGTAAATACTACTCTGTACTCTTCTCAAAACATACGTATAAACGAACACTTAATACGTTCTATTTCCACTATGGAAGAGTTATACTTCTTAGTGCGCTCTTTTGTGAAAAAGTCAGAAAATGTACAAATCTCGCGGGATTTCTGGGACAAACATAACATAAACATGTAAACAATATGTTGAATGTCGATGAACAAATCCTAAGAAAATGCAAATGAAATATTTTATTGTTGTGATCTGTATATACATCAAGAGTAGGAATGACAACGATATCAATTTATATCTATTGTTGATCGTATGTATCTATTTATCGTATGGTACATCTAAATACAATACACGTGCCTTGGAAATGTCGTATTTTTAGCTCACCTGAGCTGAAAGCTCAAGTGACCTTTTCTGATCACCCGTTGTCCGTCGTTCGTCTGTTCGTCCGTCTGTCCGTCCGTCTGTAAACTTTTCACATTTTCGACTTCTTCTCAAGAACCACTAGGCCAATTTTAACCAAACTTGGTACAAAGCATCCTTGGGTGAAGGGGAGTTTAAATTGTTAAAATGAAGGGCCAAGTCCCCTTCAAAGGGAGATAATCAAGAAAAATACAAAAATTGGGTGGGGTCATTAAAAAATCTTCTTCTCAAGAACCACTGGGCCAGAAAAGCTGAAACTTATGTGGAAGCATCCCAGGGTAGTGTAGATTCTAAATTGTTCAAATCATGACCCCCGGGGGTAGGGCGGGGCCACAATAAGGAATCCAAGTTTTACATTGAAATATGTAGTAAAAATCTTTAAAAATCTTCTTCTCAAGAACCACTGGGCCAGAAAAGCTGAAACTTATGTGGAAGCATCCTGGGGTAGTGTAGATTCTAAATTGATCAAATCATGACCCCCGGGGGTAGGGCAGGGCCACAATAGGGAATCCAAGTTTTACATTGAAATATGTAGTAAAAATCTTTAAAAATCTTCTTCTCAAGAACCACTGGGCCAGAAAAGCTGAAACTTATGTGGAAGCATCCCGTGGTAGTGTAGATTCTAAATTGTTTAAATCATGACCCCCGGGGATAGGGCGGGGCCACAATAGGGAATCCAAGTTTTACATTGAAATATGTAGTAAAAATCTTTAAAAATGCGTCGCGGGTTCGAATCCAACTGCGGGACGTGGAGACTGGTCCTCCGGATGAGACCGTATAATCGAGGTCCCGTGTCGCAGTAGTTGCTGGCACGAAAAAGATCCTCACTGTTCAATGGCCTTGAGTGCCGAGTATAGGTCTAAATTTGCAGCTATCCACCGGTATGTGGTGGTTTCTCCATGTGAGTGAAAAATTCTCGAGAGGGACGTTAAACAAACGAATAGAAAGCCATTTTCAGTCATACATGTATATTTCCATATCTCATGCTTATCCACTCTTGCACTTTTGTTCTCAGGTTTTATTCAGAGAGTGTCAGGGATCTGGATTTTACTTAAATAGTGTTTGCATCTATTACATGTCAATTTCTGTCTTTATGAAAGCTAGAATTTGTGACCTTGGTGTCACAGTATTTTACCAATAGATACAATATTCCTTTCAATGCTTGTGGGTAGAAATATGCTGTTGTTTAAAACCTTCCATCTGATGATAATTTCTCACTGTTACCATGATTAATGGCGAGAATAGAATCCAGACGCATTTGCATTATTGTTTTCTTCGATATGCTAAATTTAGTGCTAAGATATTGCGAATTAAATCACACGGAGAATTTAATTCGAATAAATTCAATGCGCAACAAATTACTTCACATTAGCTCCGTGTGAACGCTAAGCGAAGCTAATTCGAATAAATATTGATCCATGCGTATGACAAAATTATATTACATGCCACATACCAGTGGTCAGATATAGGTACATGTACTTAATATGCTATTTTTGAATAAAAAAAAGAAAGAAAAACTAATAATCTCCAAATGCATGTAGCATGTATCTGCTCTGCACAAGGTGACGTCATTTGAAAGTGACCTTATAATAACCACTAATGTAACAGTAGACGAAAAAATGCGACGGACCAGACCGGGATTTGAATCCGGACCCCCTGAATCTCTAATTAGGTGCTCTACCAACTGAGCTATCTGGCCACCGGCGATTGTACCTGTCTGGACGCCACATTCCTCCTTCCTTTAAAGGTCTTCGGCCCCCGAAGATACCAACCCAGGCTCTTCCCTTGCAGGTCTTTCACCTGTCACATCCAGAGCATGGCATGGAACCAAATGTAACAGAAAAGGAGAAAAATGTGACGGACCAGACCAGGATTCAAACCCGGACCCCCTGAATCTCCAGTCAGGTGCTCTACCAACTGAGCTATCTGGCCACCCGGATCAAAGCTGTCTGACCGCCACACTGAATAGAGACTATAGAAATAAAGTTAAAATGCACATTAGTTTCCTGCGCATTAAATGTCGTTGAACGCAAATTTATTCGCATGACTTTAATTATCTTTAATTTTCTTCACATTAATTTACAGAATGAATTAAATATTTAATGCGCATTCATGTAAACAATGCCTTTGACCACAGATATATCCTAACCTGTATGAAGGAGTCCAGGCGCGTAGCTAGGCGTACGCAAGTGCTTCCACATCATTTTCACAAAAATAATAGTAATAATAATAAAACAAAAAATAAAACCCATCATAAATCAGGCAATACTTTTCTTCTTTATCGTTAATTTCATGATGAGGATAGAACCACTGGGCCAGAAAAGCTGAAACTTAAGTGGAAGCATCCTGGGGTAGTGTAGATTCTAAATTGTTCAAATCATGACCCTCGGGGGTAGGGCGGGGCCACATTGGGTAATCCAAGTTTTACGTTGAAATATGCAGAAAAAGTCTTTAAAAATCTTCTTCTCAAGAACCACTGGGACAGAAAAGCTGAAACTTATGTGGAAGCATCCCGTGGTAGTGTAGATTCTAATTGTTCAAATCATGACCCCTGGGGGTAGGGCGGGGCCACAATAAGTACTACGGGGGGGGGGGGGGGGGGAATCAGGTGAAAAACAAGGCCAAGGTTACTCAGGTGAGCCCTGTGGCCCATGGGCCTCTTGTTTATTAATGGATGATAAATTTAGGGTTCTCGTTATCTTACATATGTCTTTTAGTTCTTCTATTCTTTAATTGGAATGACAAATACATCTAACACTTAAAATTGGATTGAGATTGGCATGTTTTGTATTGTCCACAACGCCATGTTGTCCCAGTCAGATGACCAAACGCGCCTCTAATTTTGAAGAGTTCACTAACAGAAATAGAACGTATTGCCAAAGGGCGTTTTTTACATTTTGGATTGGACTTAAAAAACACCTGAATAAATCACTTCAGTATATACTCGTACGTTTTTCAAAAATATTTATAAAAAAGAAAGAAAAAAACAACATAAAGGAAAAAAAGAAAATTTATCTGAGTGTGTAACATTGTCAATCGTACAACATTTTGACTTCAAATCAGGATCTGTCCTGTGTTTCCTTATTAATATTTAATTGTGTGAAAAAAGTTTGTGTATAATTTTTCCTTTCTGCGAATTCAAATGACTGCGATTTGCTGCAGAGTGAACAAATGGCAACTTTTTCGACCACGATTGAAATCTGCTGTACAGTATTTTCTAAATACAAGTGGTGATATTTAAATCGTTTATAAAAAATCATTTTGTGTATAATCCTTACAATTTTTCCTCATAATAACATGTAATGTACCTGACTTTATGACCAAAATTTGTACATATTTAGTCTGAAATTCAAGTCGGTAAGCTTATAACTTCATTATGTAATTGGAGCAATGAATTGACCTATTTAATGCCTTTGCCCCTGTTTTACAGGTGTTTGTGGAGTTAGATGAACTGTACGGAGATGAAGAGAAGTATGAGTGGAGAGAGAAAGCTAGGTGGATCAAGTTTGAGGAAGATGTGGAGGAAGGAGCCGAGCGGTGGGGCAAACCTCATGTGGCATCTCTGTCCTTCCACAGTCTGCTGGAGCTCAGGCGGTGCCTAGAAAATGGTATCCTTAGGGGCAGTCCATGATTTATCACCATTCTTCCTCCTGTTTATTGACGAGAGCTTCTTATTAACCTTTTAGACTCTCTGATTGTCAGAAATGATTTTTTAAAGTGCTATATAGCACTTTTTCTTTTTAATTTGAGTGTTCTATATATTTATATTTATAGTGCTGATTTTGTTTGATTCTTGGGAGTGGATAATAGAAAAAGTCACAACCCTGACAACCAAACAAATTTTTTTTTTGATTGTTAAATATTTTGAAAAGACTCTGTGACTTTGACTGAGGAAAATAATTTTGAATCTCTCTTTTGCTAAATGAGTTCCATTGATATGATTCCTTTAATATTAATGGAAAAAGTGATGAAAAATGTGTTTTATTTATTTGATGAAATAAAGAGACCCACTGAAAATAAAGTTTCAACCATTGATATAATTTTTTTAGGGACTTTAATCCTAGACCTTGAGGCTGAGGACCTTCCTAGCATTGTGACATATGTCGTGAATGACATGGTAATCCACGACCAAATCAAGAGTGAGGACAAAGGCAAAGTCCTCAAGACACTGCTGATGAAGCATAAGTATGTATTCATGCTTCTTAAGAAGCATTGCACAAATTGTATATATCCAGGAGAGTTTATGAAAGTACATGCATAGTAGGTTCACTGTATAATTGAACAGATGTTTTAGAATGAGGAAATATATTGTAGGATTAGTGATATATATTTGGGACACTCTGTTTATTGCATGAGTATAAAATCTGTAGAACTGTATAAGGATTATAAGTAAAACTTTCTTCATTTATTAGGAAATTAAGATTGATGACTTTATTTTAAACAGCTTTGAAAACTAAAAGCATGTGGAATTTTTAAAAAAAATACATTTGTAAGACTAAACCTTTTTTTTTTTGTTTTAGTATAGTTAATGAAAGAAAACGTGTCAGATATTTATCTAGCTGCATTCTTTGTCTGTAAGCATAGATGTAGTTGAAAGATAGATTTGGGCATGCATAGATTCAGAGTTTTCTCTCTTGATGAATGAGCTGCTCAATTTTGTTCTAAATAATTCTGTAGATAAATTCTAAAGATTGCAATAAGTTTTAGTCTGAGTATGCTGTGTTAAATCAGAAAAAGAAGCATGAAGTATTGTATGAAAGTATTGGAATATTTCTTGTCAATTGTTGTCAGAGTGTGTTATATAGTAGGGTATTTTAAGAAGTGAGTGTGATTAGATGTACAATGCTGTGACTATTCTCAAAATGATTTTTTTAAAAATCTATTTCATAATGACCTTAATTAATTTATCAGACATAGGTAAAAACAGATGAAATTTTGGGTAAAAACAAATCAGTTAAAAATCAGCTTTGGCTATGAGCAACTGTAATATGTTGCGATTTGGCTGTTTCCATAGTTTTCGTGTGGGACACTTTCAAGTACTGTTGTTGTTATAGTGCAAAGTTTTATTGCAATGAAAAAAAAATCTTAACCTTTCCTGAGCTATAATGTGATGATTGGTTTCATTGTTAAAGCATGTGGATAATTCTTTGTCTGTGAAATACAGATGAAAACAACAGAACTTGTTTCCTTTGGGGTGCGGTTGTTTGCACAGTTTAGAGTCTTTTGAATCAAGATTTATGTGTGTGTGCCATATTACATACACATTACAGATTCAGATGACTTTGTAATTGTGAAACTAAAATGTTATGTATTTGTTGTTTTCTTAATGTGTTTTCAATTACAGTTACAAACACTCTTTTTTCCTATGTGTAATACATGTACTAGCTTTGAAGCATGAAATTCCTATAAAGGCAGTGGTCAAAATATTTCTTAGATTTTTTTTTAAAAATTGACTTTGGTGGATTTCTGGGCATGTCATGTACATGTATTTCTGTCTGTATTTCCTAATCATCAAAACAGTCATTGAAGAATGTCAAACTAATTTGTACTCTCTGCATTGCCGTATCCAATATTGCTTACAGTTTTAAACTCAGTAGTTTTGATTTACTGCATATATTAGACTAAAATGACAAGACTAAGATTTTTTTGCTTTCACTTAACATGTGTGTAGGCACAGGGTTTTTTTTAACTTCTAAAAACCACGACAGCTAGGGAGGATCAAAGATTTTGATAGGTGGACTAGAAAAAAAAGGGATAGAACTAGGAAAATATTTAAGTCAGTATGGTTCTTCATGTTTGGTCTTGTTACCTTGTTTTCAGACATGTCGGAGACAAATTGAACACTTTTATTCGTCGCAACATTTCCTACATGAATCTCAGCGGACTTGACAGCAGCAATAAAAGGTTGTACTATATCATAAAAATCAAAACATGGCTGCCCTAGGTGTCAAGGGTGGAATTATATGTTGCCATGGTTACTAATATTCATATTCTCTAGTTTGTTTTTACTGGTGATGTTATTTTAGTCATGTTTTTCATCTGTTCTTTTATTGTCAAGGTTTCCGTAGTAATATTTATTTTCTTCTGTTTTATTGATAGGAAGTACAAATCTGTGAAAAAAAAAAGTGTTCATGTAGCTCTGTGCTGGACAAAGGGTAATTTGAAGATATTATACAGAGAAATCCTTCGCTCCTTTACATTCTATTATTGTGGGCTTTTTTTTTTTTTTTTTTTTTTTTTTTTTTTTTTTTTTTTTTACTCACCTTTCATGAGCAAAAAAATAATGCTGTTCTGATATACATGTAATTATTGTGAGGCAAAATTCATTAAAAAAAGGAAGCATTCTGTCAAAATCAATAGAGGACAAAACTTTTCCCACATGCAACATTTGAAAATCTGACTCATATGATACATGTGCTTGTAGATCCATGGACCAGTGATATCATTTTCTTTATATATGTTAAAGTAATACACTTATATATCTTTCTTAATTTTGAAAGAAACATAAGTGTGTGACTATCTGCAACAATTTCATTAAATGTGAGGTATATGTGCCTACATTGAATGTACTATATTAATGCCAAGGCAAAGAAAAATGTCATGGCATTTGGTAGTTACAGATGAAAATGAAGAACAGATATAAGCATATTCACTGTAGCATATTATTGGTCCAACAGAAACCCAATGGATAAAAAGGGGGGAAAATGATGATATTCCTATAGATTTTGTCTCAAACAAACATTAAAGATGTAGTTGAAAGGCATTCTGGAAGAACATGAAATCATTTCTTAGGCTTGCTGCCTTAGGGCAACTGATGCAGTATGTAGTCATAGATTTCCTGACATGCCATGGAAAACTCCAAAAGAAAATAAATAACTTCAGAGACACCAATACCCACTTTGAAGGGTTAAATTTTATCCTGAAGTGATCGAAATGCCACAGTTAAAAAAGTGGTCCACACTGCAGGCAGAGCTACACCACACATTTGTTTTGTTTTTTGTTTTTTTTTTTTGCAGAGATTTATTCTGCATGAATTCAAACCTTTGATAGAGAAACCTTGACTTGTATGAAGATACAGATGTAGCTCTTTCACGTGGCTTACACTATTTATTATCCTTACTGTAGCTTAATCATACCTCTTTTGTCTTCATACCAAGGGTCCTGCAAACTTGAGGACAACTAGATCACACCAGCACTAAGTTGTCTGTGTTTGTCACTTATTTTAGTACATCACAATATTAATGTAACAACTAAAATTCTAACATACAGGGATTTCTTAAGTCTTTGGTTATGGATGCTAGATAAATTAGGATATATATGTGTTTAACTTTAATAACAATCTCTAACATATTTGTTGATACAATGGACACAACCCTTCCTTTTGCTTTCAGTGTACCAGTAAATAATATTGATTTCTTACCCATGTAAACTGATTCAATGTCCGGTGGCTTTTTCTGTTTGTTGGCACAGTAAATGTAATATAACATGATACATGTGAACACAGTTTATCTAATGCCATATTTGTTTCACGCTTTATAAGAATTCATTTGCATTAAATTTAGAGCAAAAATTTCTAAAATTCATCCCATGATTGCTATCCTTTCAGTTTCTTAGTACGTATCCAGAATTTTGCAGTGTGAAAATGTTGAAATAATAAATCTGCTCATACATTGGATTATATTCACCTCATTGGAATTAATTATCCAATCAGTGTTTGTGTGGTAGAGAGGAATGGTCAGAAGTCATTAGGAGCTGGTGTTAGATTAGGCTAGGCCTACAGTAGTTGTTGAGTCAGTGTCATTTCCATGTGGGATATGGGTTTTTGATGGTTAATTCAGAGAGCTGATACACATTATTGAAGGGATGGGAGACAAAACAGGTGTTTTTCATAATAACTATTGAATAATTCTGACAATAACACATGAATGATAAAACTTTTCTTTCTGTTATATATATATATATATATATATATATATATATATATATATATATATATATATATATATATATATATATATATATATATATATATATATATATATATTTAATTTTTGCTGTATTGCATGATTTTGAAATTGTTGGTACTCCCTTGCATGTAGCATGATTGTTTGAGGTGACGTATTAAAATTGCATGTTAAAGATTCTTTTCTTTTTTGTGTCAGATTTACTTAATATGTGTGTGATGCACCTAAACATAAGTATGAAATATAACAAGACCAAATTTATGTTATCATTATTGTAGATATATCTCTATAAATATGTATATTTAAACAGAAATTAATATTTACATATACAAAGATATGATTTAACATAATGAATCTTGTTAATTTTCATAACAAGCAAACTAATGTGTAACCAATGCTTAAAACTGTAATAAAGTTCTTATAGACCAAGAACATGTATAAAATACTGTTGTTTAGCAGATAAGAATAAGAAATTGTTTATTGTGTGTGTACTCTTGACCTTAAAGTTGTAAGATCTACAGAATTAAGAACCTTATTGCCACATTTTCAGACATCAAAAAGAAAAGTTGTCTTTGAGACGTTCCCTAACCTCTGGCAGTTTTCGTTCCTCTGCATCGTTAGACAAAATGCCTGACACCCCCTCTGAAACACTTATAAAGAAGGAAAAGGAAGCGGCAGAAAAAGCTAAAAACAATGAAGTGAAAAACCTAGAATTTGTCAAAGTTAATGTAGACAATAACATGGTATGTACAGCAAGACTTGTTTATAATATAATAATCACAGATATTTTTACTACATACTTGTATTTAAAAAAAAAAATAATAATAATAAATAAAAATAAATTCCATTAAAAATATGAAATAATGCATTACTATTTGGATATAACAAATTGTAAATATAACAATATGGTTGTAATTGTGTGTTGAGGGAACATACTACAGTATGGTGTATGTTGCTAGACTTGTGATTGCAAACAATATTTTCAAAAAATTTAAAATGCAGATATGGTCTTTACTCTTCCTCAATAACCTCTTCCATCCTTTTGTTATATATTTATTTAAGAAATGAATTAATTTTTGAAGATTCATGAGGACATGAACTACGACGCTTCACGATGGCATATTTCATGAAGCGTGTTAGCGCTTCATGATAAATATGCCGACGTGAAGCATTGTAGTTCATGTACCTCATGAATCTTCAAAAATTAAATTCATTTCTTATACATACATTATTTTTCTGATGAGTTGCCACAAATTACGCCATTCAAATATCATTTTTAAAGCAAAATAGTTTGCACTATAGTTTTGACATCAAGTACAGTATTATGATGTAACAATGGATATATTCATGCTCATCCGTGGGAGTTCTAATTTGCAAAGAATCTTAAGAAAAAATATTTGGAAATGTAAATATTTATAAATGAATCCGACAACTATATATTTATACTTCCCCTTTAATATTTCATGTATATAAAAGCAAAAAATTTTTTAAAAACATGTACACAGAGAGAGAGAGCACTTTGTTGAACACCTTTGACCATTGATTTGTCATTTATAGCATGCTGATGGGGTACATATTGGAATCACAACGAACGAGAGTCGACAGAAGAATATTCAGGATATCATGAGAAGAATACCCAAGGACGCTGAGGCCTTGACGGTACTGGTAGGCTGTGTCGACTACCTCTCTAAGCCAGCTATGGCATTTGTTCGTTTAGCTGAGGGTCAAGTGCTGGATAACCTTACGGAGGTTCCACTTCCTGTCCGTTTCTTGTTTGTGCTCCTGGGTCCAGAAAGTGCCATGGACTACCATGAAGTTGGCCGTTCTATTTCTACACTAATGGCTAACCAGGTATTTTAAGAATTTGTAAATTTTCGGAAAAATTTGAAACATGGTCAACATCAAGTAAGGTGGACAAGGCAGTCTTTTTATTTGCCTCAGTTCATTTTGCGGTTGTGTATAAAATATTACATGTTAACACAGTTCCTATTTGCTAAGCAGTGTGATTTGTAGTTATAAGTATGTTTTCATAAATATGTATAGTTTTAATTTCTTTATATGGATGCAGTATTATGTGTGATTTTAAATTTGGTTGTCCTTCGGTATCCTTACTACATTACCTTAATTTTTTACTGTAAGTAAAATGAACAAAAACATGAGGAAAATTACTAGTATTCATAAAAATTTTGAATGAACTAGTAGTAATTGATAACAAAATCTACAATTTTTCAGCATTTTCATGACATTGCCTACAAAGCTGTCAGCAGGGATGAGTTGCTTCACGCTATCAATGAATTTTTGGATGAATCCATTGTTTTACCCCCTGGAGACTGGGATCAGAAAACTCTCCTTCCTATTATGGACATGGCCAGGAAGAAAGCCCGAGCCATGAGAAGAAAAAAGCACAAAGAAGAGGAGAAAATAGGTCAATTTGTTTTCTAAACACTAAGCTGTATATCTCATTAGGTTGTTTAGTATCTCATTTGCAAAATTCAGGAGGAAATTTTATGGTCTTCACTTTTACATTAGGGCTGATGGTATGCCTTGACTATCTGCTTTTGATATTGTTTTTTAAAGTGCATATATTGAATATATGCCCATATGTACATTTTTCATCATTCAGATGCGATTTTCTGAACTAACACCCATTAAACTTCTTGATTATCTTGCCCAGAAATAACCAGGGTTAAAACATGTAGTGGGCCAGAATTTTAATGTACATGTGTGGATATATATGACCTCTGGTAGGTTATTTATAACTTTTTTTTCTTTTACAGCTCTGTTGAAGAAGGAGGAGGAAGATAAAATTCCTCTAGATCCTTTGAAAAGAACAGGGCGTCTGTTTGGGGGACTTGTCAATGATGTGAAGCGACGCTTTCCCCACTATCTGAGTGACTTTAAGGATGCCCTCCATTTCCAGTGTGTTGCGTCCTTTATTTTCATTTTCTTTGCATGTTTATCACCAACAATTGCCTTTGGAGGTCTTCTAGGTAATTATAAATACCATAATTATCTACAGTAATCATATACTATTTGCAAGTGTGGATCAAAGCATAAATTTTTATTGAAAGGGCATTAAGTCCTAATAAAATCTTTATTTATAATTGTACAAAACTCTTGTTGGAGAATTGTTTTGGTTCCATTATTGTTTATTTATTCTCTCTCATGCTTTGTTAGGTGAGAAAACAAAAGAATATATGGGAGTAACAGAGACCATCATCAGTACGTCACTCAGTGGTGTTTTGTTCGGCTTGTTCTCCGCTCAGCCCATGATGCTCCTTGGAGCCACTGGTCCGGTCTTAGTCTTTGAGGAATCATTATACCAAGTATGATTGTGAACCCAAAATTTATTTTACCTGTGTTATAATTGAAGTACATGTATTTATACAGTAAAACTCGTTTAGTATGAACACGGATATAACGAATTTACAGATATAGAGAAGTTTTTTGCAATCCCGGCAAAATTCTGAACAATTCCTTGTAAAATATTACGGATATAACGAACTCGGATATAACGAATTTACGGTCATAGCAAAGTGATTCTATGTCCCCTAGAAGTTAAAAGTAACAAAACTTAAATCTTTTATAGCAAATTTTTAAAGAATTAAGTTTTTAAAATATTGAACTGACATTTTCTTTGTAAGTATATATATTTAGAACACTATTCATCCGAAAAATTTTTAACTCCAAGGTAAATTTTATATTTTATACTTCCCTAAATACATTTGGTAGTCATACTACAAGGAAAAAAATCTATATTGCGAAGTGGCTATGTATACTTTAACGAATTTGTTATATGGATATAACGAATTATGGATATAGCGAGGTAAATTCTCAGGTCCCCAGAACTTTGCTATAACCGAGTTTTACTGTAAACTTGTCCTAAAATGTTAGTACAAGGCTAATTAAATTACTTATATATATTGCTGTTACCTGGTATTTGCTTTTGATATGATTTGATTCTTGCTGTTGTCTTCTTTGGGAAAATTCAGCCGTCTGTCTTGTTTATACATTGTATGTATGTTAAATTACATAAGGGCAATCTAATCTTTATCAGATATTTTTGTCATGAGTTACCTTTCTTGAAGGAAAAAGCAACATGAAAGAGTATCATTTGTAAAGTTAAAATTTAAATGTTTTCAACATATATAAGTACAAGATTAAAACTTGTACAGAGAAAATATAAATTATTAATTTTTAAGATTTCAGAATTAAATTTTTATTGAAGTTCTGCATATAAAAATTTTTAAACACATTATATTTTGACATAATTGCAGAAATATATTCATTAACTTCACCCCAAGAAGGTTATAATTTTGAGAGGAATATTACTCCGTAAAAATTTACCCTATAGAGATTTTTGGCCCCTCTTAGAGGGATTATGAAGACTAATTGATATTACAAAATTATGAATGTAAAGTTATAGAGGTATAAGATAGGTTTACTTTAAGCAACTGTAACTTAGATGTGGGACATCTTTACCTAACTGAATTATGTCATCAGTCAGTTGTCTGAGTGTACTGACAGTTAAGTGTGTTTTTATCAAAATCAAAGTAATAATAATAATGTATTATGTGTGCATTAAAAAAAAATGACTTAAAAAAGATCACAAGACTTATCCTGGTCATTTTTAAGAATTAGTTATGATGTATACAGTAATTTATAGTACTTTCAATTGCTTTTAATTTGATTTTTTTTTTCCAGTTTTGTACTAGCTATGAGATAGAGTTTCTCCCTATGCGGTTTTGGATAGGATTTTGGGTTATGTTAATTACCTTTGTTGTGATTGGATTAGAAGGCAGCTATCTTGTCAAACACATCACTCGCTTCACTGAAGAGATCTTCACCATTGTCATCTCACTCATCTTCATCTATGAAGTTGTCAAGAAAATTAAGTCAGTGAGTATTCTTATTTTTGTACAGAAACATTTAGGAAGCAACCCATCCTTAATAGATGGACATGTAGGTAATATTTACAGGTCACCTGAGTCATGAAATGGACCCCCATCTGTCGTATTGCATCGTACGTAAACTTTTGAACATTTTCAGATTTTCGTCTGAATTAAATGAAGTAATTTCCACTAGTTTTAGTGGAAAGCAGTTTTAAATGAGCAAAACTGATTCATTTATCGAATTTGAATTCTTTTAAATTGGTACTTTTTTTTCAGACTTTTGCTGATCACCCATTGATGGAATCATATGAAGACTGCAAAAGTAGTACTAACAATGCCTCATATAATGTGTCAAACAACCCCACATATTATGTATCAATCAACGAAACCTCCTCTCAGTCAACCCTGACACTGTACGATAATGACCACATAAAAGATCATCACAGCTATCATGCCTCTACCCCTCCCAAGCCAAACACTGCCCTCCTGTCTCTTGTTCTTATGTTGGGGACATTCTTCATTGCATACTTCCTGCGAATTTTCAGGAATAGTAAATTTTTAGGCAGAAGTGTAAGTATATTTTTTTTGTGTCCGTTCAGAAAAAAGTATTATATTCATGAAGATGTGTGATTTGGAATTTAAAAGAGATATTGTTCATGGATTTTTATCTTTTAAGGCATTTATAAAGATAATTTGTTTTTTCAGGCCAGAAGAGCTCTTGGAGACTTTGGTGTAGTCATTGCTTTGTTTCTAATGGTGCTTCTTGATGCTATTACACCAACAGTATATACTCAGGTATGTTGAGCATTGTACTGAGAATCTCCAATAGGCCATTTTCAAAGGACTTCTCAGACAAGAGAGTAGAAAAGTAGGCTTGCAAGGGACATACTCTAGTAAATACTCTCATGTTTAAGAAACAATTGCAGCAGAAATCCTCTTTTGGGATTTAATAGATAGGATTAAATCAAAAAGTTGTGTCTTTAGACATGTTAGAAGTAAAATTAATTTTAATTTACCTACTTAAGTGGACTTAATAATTCAAAGGCATTTTTAATTCAGTTTTTCATAGATTATAAAAGTAAAAATATTTGAGTAAAATATGAAACATAAAACCTTTTATTGTAATTTAAATACATGTATGATATGCTGTTGTATTAAAAGTTAATTTGGCATTTTGTCTTTAATTAATGTAGCTGCAGTTATGAATCTTGTCACATGATTTTAGGAACTAAAATTGGTTTCTTTTGATTTTTATTTTTGTGCTTTTCAATTAAATGCTGTGTAAAGGAAAATGTTTATTTTTAACCGTCCAGTTAAAAGTGATCAATTTAAGTTACATGTTTGAAATTTTACTGACAAAAAGACATATTTAGATTTTAATTATTTTTGTAGAAATTATTGATCTCCGATGACTTTGAACCCACGGACGTTAAAAAGAGGGGCTGGTTTGTTCACCCCATGGGAATTAAGAAACCAATGAAAACAGATATGATCATCGGAGCCAGTCTACCAGCTTTTCTTCTCTTTATTCTACTTTTCTTAGAAACCCAAATTACAGAGTACGTATCACTGAGTATATAAGCATAAGCTTATCTAATAAGCTCTTAATTAATTAATATATTAGGAATGTTATTCAAGACTCTTAAATGACAGCATATTTCTGATATTTTACTTTTAACTGTAATCCTGTATATAAAATTAAAAATACAACCAGCATGAAAGGTGAAGGGGGTAGGGGTTATTACAAAGGATTCCATTCTCTTCATTTGTTTATACATGTGCTTCAGCACATTAGGTATACCTCTGAAATTGACATTTGAATTCAAATCTTTTCAAAGGTCATGGTCATTGAGAACTTAATACTGTGTACAGTTGTTGGCTCACCCGTTTGGCTTAACTGGGCTTTTCTGATCGAAAGGTGTCTTCTGTAAATTTTTCACATTTTTGACTTCTTCTCAAGAACCACTGGGCCAATTTCAACCAAACTTGCCACAAAGCATACTTATAGATAAAGGGGATATAAGTTTTTTTTTTTTCAAATGAAATGCCACACTTTCTATCAAGGGGAGATAATTAAGAATTAGTAAAAAAAATTTAATGGCATTTTTTTAAAAATCTTATTGATAACCACTGGGTCAGAAAAGATGAAACTAATGTACAAGCTCACAACGTAGTGAAAATTTGTTTGTTTTAATCATGACCCTCTGTGTAGGGAGTCCCACAATGGACGATCAAAGTTTTACATAGGAATATATAAGAAAAAATCTTTCAAAACTATCTCCTCTAGAACAGCAAAGCCATGATAAGTCATAATTATATGGAGGCATCCTCAGGTAGTGAAGAATTAAGTTTCTTCATATTATGACTCCCAGGGGTAGAGTGGGGCCACAATCAGCAATTAAATTTTTACAAAGGAGTGCACAGAATTTTTTTTTAATATTTTACTCAAGAACAACAAAGCCATGATTATAGTCATATTTATGTGGAAGCATCCTCGTGTAATACAGATTTAAATTTGTTGAAATCATTATCCCTGGGGGTTAGGGTGGGGTCACAATAGGAGATCAAAGTTTTACATAGGAGTATATAGCAAAAATCTGATGATGAAGAACAGCAGGGCCATAGTGACTCATGAGCACATTATGGCCCATGGGCCTCTTGATAGAATGTGAATACAAGTTGAAAAAATCCTTAATGTTTACTTTCAGAATGACTCTGAACAAAAAAGAGTTCAAAATGAAGAAGGGCTCAGGATATCATTTAGATCAAGTGTTGCTTGGGATCCTCTCTTTCATTGGGGGGCTGTTTGGGTTACCATGGATGTGTGCTGCTACAGTCCGAACTCTGTGCCATGTTTCATCTCTCAGTGTATATAGTCGATTCCATGCTCCTGGTGAAAAACCAAGACTTGTTAAAGTTCGGGAACAACGGGTCACAAGTATTGCTGTCAATTTATTATTAGGTAAGGTGTGCGAACACAATGAAGTAGAGTGTGTAAGACACGTGGAAGTCCCTTGCTAGTCATTGATATGTAGAATGATGCTAAAAAACATCTTGTGTTTCTTATGCTTTTATATTTTTCTTCAATAATACATAAATAATTCTCATATTTTTTTGCATGGAATTTTCAACACATTCTCTGTGAAAGTACCTTTCCAAATGTATTAAATTGCCTGGTTATATCTGTAATTTTTTTTTATCAAAGACTCTTGCTTGATATATTGTAGGTTTATCATTGTTGTGGGGTCCTTTGTTACGACTTATACCTATGGCTGTTCTTTTTGGCATATTCCTGTATGTGGGCGTGTCTGCTCTAAGCAGTCTTCAGTTATATCGTAGAATGAAGCTGTTATTTATTCCCAACAAACATCATCCATCCATTGGTTATGTCAGACGGGTAAGTGTCAGCTATGTGACTTTCATCTTAAAGAAAAAATTACCAATTCTTACCAATTCTAAAAGAAAAAATTACCAATTCAACCGATTTTTTTTTTCTCATCCACTTGAAAGAAATTTAGAGAGAATTAAATATTGGTGTGTTCTTGAAGTGTACTTGTTTTAAGAAGTTGCAAAGCCCCTATGAAAACAATACCTGTTCATACCATTTTAAAGGTGTCAAAGTAGTTCATATAAATTCTTATGAAGGTTGGGAGAACTTTCAGTCCTTCTTGAAGATAATTGGTCCAGATAAGCATTGTGTGCTTTATTTATAATACAAGTATTACGTCCATGCATAGTGAATTTTTTTCATCCCTATTATTGATGTAACCTCTGTTAATTTCTTTGCAGGTCCGAACCATTAAAATGCATTTATTCACAGTGATACAGGTGTTGATGCTTGGTTTGATGTTCGGTCTCAAGCTCTCCCCTGCTGCTATAGCCTTCCCTCTCTTTGTTATTCTGTTGATTCCAGTCCGCCTCAAAGTTATGAATTATTTCTTTTCCGAGCAAGAACTTGGTGAGGTGAGTAGAAAATGGTCGCATTTTCGAAGTCATTTTGTGAATGAAATTCACACTTTTTATAAAGGAGAAAGGACACAGGATATGTGTTTTGATAGTTATACATACAGTAACAAATGGTTTTTAAAGATTCTGTTATGTTTTATTTCTATTCCAAATTAAGAAAAAAAAAATCTAAACAGAGTTTTCATCTCTATTGAAAGTGATGACTATTTTTAGAACCTGTCAAAAGTTTGAAGGTTTACAACCATAAACCCAAAGAATCAATTTGATGTTAGACCATGACAAATGTCATAAAAATGATTTTCGTATTCTTGAAATATAAAAAACTGATTGGTCAATCAGTAAACACCTGACTAATTTAATGTGCAAATTTTTGCTGACATCAGAAAATCTATGTAGTGGTCTCGACCTGTTAAATGGGACAGTCTAATAAGTTTGTATTTCAAAGCTTGATGAGTACTTAAAAATGAGATTATTATATTTTGACAGCTTGACAAAGAAGATGAAGACAGCGAATTTGAAGATGAAGATGACAGGGACTTTTACCAGCTGGCCCACATGCCCATTTAAAGTTCTTTGTTTCAAATGCTCAGCATGTGCGATGTCTTCATGCACTGCTGGTTCCTATTTGCAAATTTTCAACTATTTTGTACCACTACATGTACCAGAACACAGTGGTGCAAAAAATTGTGATATTTTTTATTGTATGTGTTTTAATCAGATTTTTTATTTGTCAATTATGGTAAAATATTTTTGGGTAGGAAATTTTGAAGGGTAAAGTAAATGTAAATCAAGTGTATATGCCATTTGTGTGAGTTTTAAACCAGCCAAATGTGTTTATTTTGAATTCTGTATTTTTGTGAAATCCAGTTTTATAAAGTATCATTTTATACAATACATTAATATGAGGAAATGTTATTTTGTAATGAGTGATCTTTATGGTTGATGAATTTGTCTCCCAAAATGGTGCCAAGTTAAAGTCCCATGGAGGAAATAAAGATATAACTCAAAAAAATAAAGCAAGTCTAGCCCATGTGTTGTGGTCCCAAAATCATAACTTTTCATAATTGAAAAAAGAACTTGCAATATAGGGTACACAGAGTAAGATGCAGGGTAATTTCGGATGAATTTATAGCATACTTTATTTTCAAGTTCTCCGATGGTATTTTGTATCAAGCCATTTAGCACTGCTTTTAAATGTTTTACATCACTGTGTATGATCCTCATTTATAACATCATTCCATAAATGAACAAAGAAGTGGTTTTAATGTTATCTGTTTCAAGGTTCACTGAACAAATTTTGTAATGTTTTTAATTAGATGGACAAAAATGTTAACAGAATTCAGGTTGGTGCATGATGAATAATATGTAGGTGCTACTGGCAGTTTTAGCAATAAAGATAAAAGTAGTACTGTAGTGGAATTTAAAATAATCCTTGCCTCACCTATATATTGTTCCCAAGTTTTACTCATAAATTATCTTTACTGCTTAAACAAATTATTTTTATATATTTTTTTTAATAAAGGGCGATAACTTGTACTAAAATAGTAATGCATTTTTTACTCCCATTTAAAACAGTATTATCTTTTCTGTAGGATTGATGTTATTGATAAAAAAAAATAAGGAATAACTTAGAACTGTATGAAATGTAGAATTAGCCTTAGGAGAGGGAAATTTATTACTCTTTTCTCCTGTAGAATCGGTTCTGCTCAAAGACAGCTGGTGCTTTCTAGTCTCTCTACCAAGGAAATGATCTTATTTCTTACCATAGTAGATGTAATGTCTAGTCAGATGTATATGAAAATAAATGGCATTTAGAGTTACAAGCCACTTAGCAGGGCAGATAGCTGGTAGGATTATGGTGGTTTTAAGTTACTTTTTATCTTTCTAATTGATTAAACCTTGGATATTGATCATCAGACATAGCTGAAAACAAGTGCATTTACTGTTTCTTCCCTTTTCAGTGTAATCTTTTCTTTATTGAGTTACTTTTTTATGATCTACAGATATGAATGTAAAAAAAAAGTGTGTGTGTCTCTCATGTTCTGTATAACTGTTTGACATGCAAAAACTCCAAACACAAATGTGTTCATTGACATTTTGCAAAGAGCAAATTCGGCATTTATCAACGATAGAGGAACAACTGTTGAGTGTTGTGTCAGTTGATGCACCATGGAATATCTCTGAAAAAATGAAGCTATATGTATTAAATCTTTTTTTAAAGGGATTTTCTCTTTGGACTCCATTTTTACTTTGTTTACTTGAACTGTAAACCATTCTGTTAACTTTACAAACTACATAGATAAGAGGATATTTTTATTGAAGGGGGGTTTAGTAATTTTTTTTTAATTGAAATTACAACTCCTCTACATAAGAAATTATTATCTTGAATATAAATAAGGAGGTGAATGATATTAAAATGAAATCTTATATTATTTTTCTTTTTGTGTGTGTGATGTATATAGTCTAGTAGTGTAAGGATGTATTGTGTTGATAATGTAAGAACTAAGGTATATACCTATATATAGATATTGATACAGTTTAAGTATATGTCATTCTTGCTCAATCATGATTTTCTTACACCCCCTTTTTCTGCCACATAGAACATTCCCTTGTTTGTATATTTCATTTTTATTCTGTAAATATAGATTTATCATTAATTTTTGTAATATAAACTAAAAACAGACAGCTATGTTGCATGCACTAGTAATGCCAAGATTGTTAAGGTATCTTTTTTGTTATGTCATTTTGTCTCATTTCTACTGATAAATTTAGTATGGTATACAGGTCAATTTGACTAACATTTATGTTAATATTTATGCTTTAATTAATTACAATTTTAGCCTGATAGGCTGTTTAGTCATTTCTTGTTGACTCTCATTTTAATTCCAGATTCCATACCAGTTCTAGAACACAGCTATTGATTCCATATATCTTTCGGTATATATTCAAAGTACCTGTATAGTAAAGACTGTTACAAGTGCTATACATTTTTGCCATATGAACATGAAGTTATGACTGTATAATGATGACTATTTAAGATTGTTGGTTCGGGTAGAATACCTGAGACATGGGAAGTCTGTGATTAAAGGTTGTTTTGTTTTAAAATGTTTTTCTTGTCTTTCTTAGCAGTTTTTACCAAACAGCTATCTGTGTGTGGTTAAAAAGATTAGTGTTCTACCCAACAAATGGTGAAAAGGATTGAAATTTACTACAAATCATAATACAGCATACATTTATTTATAAATATTAGATGAACAAAATTGCGCTACAGTATGTGTCAGTCAACATTTTAGTCATGAATATGTGAATAACCCACTGTGGATTGAGCCATACAAGATTGTGTAGTAAATTCTAATTACTTATACTGGTATTTTTATTGAGTACTCTTCTCCCTGGCTCTAAATTGAATAATATACTAGGACAGATCTCTGATTTGGAAGAACCAATAATTAACAGAGATGTCAGGAAATGTATTCATGTCTGATGATTACCTGCATACTGAACACTTAAATTGTTTTGCCTTGAGGAAGAAAACTTTACATCAGTGTTGTTTGTCGATACAGTATTATTAAAAGAAGGTTAATCTGAAGTGATGAAGTTTTGCTACAAAGCACCAGGAAGAAAGAAAACATTGAAAAAAAAAGTGACAAAAAAGGAAAATGTATTCCATTTTTATGCCTTTTTTTAATGATCAATACCAAATGACAACTCTTATTTTATGCATATATATTGGTAAAGTATATTAATTTATCACATACTTCGTATTTCATTTAGAATCGATGATTAGAACGAAACATTTGTTGCACGAATTGGCTAAAAATGTTACGGAATACCCAGGGTTTGTTTTGATAGTCGCCGAAAACTGTATTTTAACTTTGTAAGTTACGATAATCCTATTTTTTTATTTACTATAAGTTCATTCTAAGGAAATTTGTTTTAAATAATGCTTTAAACTGTCACCGATGACAAAGAAAAGAGTAGAAAAGCAATTTGCTATCCTTTCGAATTTCCTCAGTCTTAACTACGCCCAGTTGTTAACGAATAATAGCAGTTTTAAACATCTTTTTGTGATTGAAGTACATTTAAAAACACGAATGTATTGAAGTTTTCAAATCCATAATTAAAAAATGAATCTCATTAGCATGTGTCACCAAAGAGATATGGACAGGTCTTGTACAATCACTAGATTTAGATACGTAACTTGAATTACCTACATAGCTTTATTTACCTACCTGAAGTAGCTTTATTTAGCTACTAAATCAAACTTATTTCATGAATTAGCATTTTCCCTAAAAAGTGCAGAAAATTGCACTTTGATACAGTGATAATTTTCAACTTTGAACTCAACTGAAATCTATTCATGAAAAAATCACTCTTGGAGATGTGTCTTTTTCTGCGCAATTTCAATCAAAGTTCTAAAACTTTTGGGGCTATATATAACAGTTAATTTGTGATCAAACAGTCACTTCTTTAATGAAATAAAGAAAACCAGTTCTGGTTAATATGAGCACAATGAGAAGCAATCGTACTTATCCATACCTCATCGCACATGTACAGTTACTCAAACAATGGAAATACATCTTTTCCTTAAAAGTCTTCAAACACAGCAATGTTAAAACTATCTCTGCTTTGGATTGCTTTTTAAATAATCCCTAGTATAAATATTGGTAGTCATTTATTTGCGACTTTTTGTCTTTTTAAAATAAAAAGCAAAATGTGAAAAGTTGCCTTGAAATAGCTAAATAAAGCTACCTGAGGTAGGTAAATAAAGGTACGGTAGGTAATTCTAGCTACGTAGCTAAATGTACTGATTGTACTGGACCTGATGGAGTGACTTCACCCCTTTCCCCTCACTTCTGGCAATGTTATTGATTAGCTGATTTAGATCATTTTGAAAAAATAAAGGTTTTAAGTCTGGTTTAGAATAATACAGATTTAAAAATAGCACAGTAAAGTTTTTTTTTTCATAACTTTATGCTTTTGCTCTTTACAACATGGTTTATATATGGTATATGTGTTAAATTTTTTTTTTTTTTTTTTTTTTTTTTTTGGCAACACATTTTGAAGTATTTTTGATGCAATATGTTACATTGTCAGATTCCTCATTATATAATCAAACCAAGATACAGTGGTGGATCATAATATTATATGATAAACAAACTGACGTGTTTGTATTTTTAGGTAAAGATCCGGATTAAAAACTGTGATTTTTTTTTTATTATAAATAGATTGGTAGTAATGAAACTTACCTATAAATAAATTGTGGCACATCCCTTTGATCTAATTATCTCAATTATTATTTGGGAAGTGATTTGTAAAGGTTCCTTATATGATGATTGGCGATGGTGGCCCATATTCTCCAAATTTCTAGTTGTTATTAAATTCTGCTCGCACATTTTTACAGATAGATTGTTTATATGTGAATATATATATGAAAAGAAAGTAGAATTTTGCATAATTTAATTTATTAGTATTTCTTCAGTCACTGTGAGAAGTTCTACATCTTTACTTTTTTTTTATATAAACCCTGGTATATTACATGCCAGCCACATTGAATTGATCTCATAGGGCCTGTGGGTGTAAGAAAAAAAAATGCTTTGCTATACATAGCTATTGTATTTAAAAAATAACTTTAATACATGGAGTGATCTATGTAATGTAGGATTGCATTTTTTAGCTCTACTGGTCTACATTTCAATTCAATTCAATTTATTCACTCAAACCACTTAGTGGCACATGAGGTTCTATGTACAATATATACAAAGACAATATAAAAGATACACATGAAATAGCGAGAATACATACAAGTTACTGAAGTTAGATAAACAAAAATAATTATGGAGGACAGACTTGTTCATATATTTTAGATATGTAAATACACAATTTAATTAATACACAGGCATCAGCAGCTGACAATATATCTGAAAATTTGTAAAAATTTGGTCTATAGCTATTACAGTTTTTTTTTCTTTTGGATGGATGCTTTTTCCGTCATTCTGAAAAAAAAATAAACAGGCTTCCAAATTTGTTTACTTTTGGCAGAATTTAGCATTAAAATAAATTAAGGAGGTTTTGTATATCTACATACCTATTCACTACCTATTTACTTCATACACACTTTTAATTAGGAAAAGGTGCCTGCTGCCCAATCCCATTCTCTTTTGTCAATGAAATACAGTATTGTTTACAATAAATGCACATTTTTAATGGTAGCAAAATAGTCCTTTGAGCTCAAATTTTATTTTCCAATAAATTTTCTTGATGTAGATATATAATTGAAAAACACAGTTCTTTACATTCAAGTTTTTTTGTGCTTGTGATTATACTATTTTCGTCTTTAATTTCAGATGACCATGTAAGGAATCAGGATGACATTACCACGAGTTGTACGAGAATGGCTGTCCGAATTTAAGGTACATAAAAACAATGTATCCTATACATGTATTATTTTATATAACCTAAATATTCAGTGTGTCAAGTCTGCTACATGTGTAACATCTTAAGGGGTTGGTTAAAAATTAGTAAAAGGATTTATGTATTTACTGCTATGTAAGAGAAAAATCTAGTAATGAAATGGCTTACAGATTTCCAGTGTGCATGTTAAGGACATGTTGAAAACAAGATTAGTGCTTTAACGATAAATTATTAAATAACACAAATTCTTTTAGTTTTACCTCCGTTTGAAAAGTTCCAATTTATACATTTTACATATTTTTGACAAGTTCAGGATATTTTAAAATCTTCCATAGAGAAGAGTATCCAATAATACATGTATCGATCTATTTAACAACATGGTGTGCCCACAGCAGTATTTAGCTCTGCTGGTCAGAGACCAGAAGAGGTTATGTGATGGTAAGGTGTCTGTCGTCCGTCCATCTGTCTGTAAACCATTTTTCAAAATGCTACTTCTGTAATATGAGTTTGATATCATGAAAAAGGAGAATGATTTCATTACGGCATCACAGTGGATCTGAGAACAAACCAGGGATTCCTAGGTAATATAATAATAGGTAATGTTAATTTTATAGGTCAATGTTCTAGGACATCAGTTTTACAGTTAAGTATACTTGGATGACTCCTGTGACAGCTAGTCTCTAGTTTTATCATATGTCAGTGATACCTGTCTCTGATGTATCAAATTTATATTTATTCTGAGGGGAATTTGTACATTTACCAGGAGTTATCAAAAAAGCATCTTCAGTTGGTGTAGATTCAAATTTGTTTAAATCAAGACACCCCCCCCCCCCCCCCCCAAGGGTAAGGTGGGGCCACAGTGGGCAAGTTTTTTTTATAGAAATACATATGAAATTTTTTAAAAAATCTTTCTTCTTAAGAACAGCAAAGTCATGTTTAGGCATATTTATGTGAAGCATCCTCAGGTACTGTAGATTCATATTTGTTCAAATCATGGTCCCAGGGATTAAGGTGGAGATTGAATAGTTAATCAGATTTTTACCTAGTAAGAATTTCTAGGAAAGAACTGCAAAGCCATGATTAGTCATGTTTATATGGAAGCATCCTCAGGAAGTGTAGATTGAAGTTTGTTCAAATCATGATCCCGAGAGGTCAAGAAGGCGCCACATGGAAATGAACATGTATAGGTAATTGCTTTGAAAATATTCTTCTCAAGAACATTAAAGCATAATTAGTCATATTAATACAAAAGCATCCTCAGATTAGTCTAGATTAGTGTAGATTCAAATTTGTTAAAATCTTGATCACAGGGGTATGGTGAGGCCACAATGGGCGATCAAAGTTTAACTTAGGAATATATAGGAAAAATCATTAAAAATCTTCTTCTAAATAACAGCAAAGCTATGATTAGTTCATTTTAATTCAGGAAGTGTAGAGTTGTTCAAATCATGTCCCCCGCCCCCCGAGGGTAGGGCAAGGCCACAATAGAGAATCAAACATATAGAAAAGAATCTTCTAAAGCCATGACTAGTCAAAGGAATATTAAAGCATCCTCAGTTAGTTTAGGTTCAAGTTTTGTTCAAATCATGCTTCCCCTGGGAGGTGTGGGGGTAATTTGGGACCACTTACAGCAATGGTTTCAAAAGTGGGGGGAGGGGGGTAACTTCCCCAAGAAATCTGACAAGCTAAAAATAAGCCTAATTAACTGTCCAAATCCTGGAATTTGCCAGTGCTCTACCTTACAGCAACAAAAAAGTGTTTGTGTGTGTGGAGTGTGGGGGGGGGGGGGGGGGGGGCAACCAGCATCTACAGGCCTGGCTTATATATTTAAACTTTTCAATACTGAATTGATTTCTGCTTTTTCCTATCCAAAGTGCTCATGTGAGTGATGTGGCTCATGGGCCTCTTGTTGATTTGTGGAGATGGAAATTTCTATTTTTAACATTTTAGAACTTAAAATTACCTGTTTATCAGTCTCTTGTCACATGCAACATGCATACCAGACTAGAATGGATACGTGTACTCTCATCCTGAGGAGTGTATTGTTTGGAGGGAGAGTATTTTGAAAACAAAAGTCTGGCCTTGTATCATTGGGCCACAATGCAGACAAATTCAGCAGGGCATGGTGACAACACATTGCCTCATGAATTTTATAAATAACTGAATGAGCACATGTAGAAACATGTTTCTATCAGAAAACTGCGTCATGAGAAAGCAGGTTTTACCATTGTATCTGGCCACCTGGTATCTCGCTCTCCTGTGTGGCTTGCATTCTTCTTTTAATTAAACAAATTGAACAAATAATTATCTTTAGAAAGTTCAGAGAACAGTACAGTTTCTTTATGAATCATAAATACATGTACTCTCTATTCAGTGAAGTCCTTATTTTACCTTCACCTGCTCATGTTACCCAGAAAGAAACAATGGTTTTGCAGCACAATTTTCATCTGAAATTTTTCTGTAATAATTTTCTTTTTAAAAAGTTAATATGTATTATAGTTTTCTTAGGGGGTTATATATTATATAGCTTTCTGAGAGCATGTAGAGCATGTTGAGGTATTCATAGTCACTACTCTTAACATTATCTTTTTTTTTCCCAATAAAATAATGTTTACACCTATTTTTAGCTCTTCTGAGCCAAAGGCTCAAAGAACTAATGCTATAGCTATTTGTGCTGTGTGCGATGTACATAAACTTTTTAGAATATGGGCCATAACTCAAGAACCCCTTGGCCAATAGTACTAAACAAGGGGAGATAATTAGGAAAATAGAAACAAAAGTACTGGTTGCTAAAAAATTTTCTTCTCAAGAACCACTGGGCAGATTATCACCAAACTTACACAAAAGGATGAGGATATGTTGTAGATTAAAAATTGTTCAAGGCATTACCCTTGGGCAAAGGGCGTGGTCTCAAGGGCACTTCAGAGTTGACAAAAAATTACAATTTATTAAAATGTTGATATTTTGCTTACTATAAGGACTAGGATCAGCAAATCTTGTCAGTTGATGCATCTAAGGACCTCATATCATGTTGACTCAAAAGTAGGTCACGGTGACTTACTTTTTAAATTTTGTGACCATTCTTTTTCAAAATGATTTAGAGGCATGTTTTGAACAATTTAAGGCCTATGATCATCAAACTTTGTCAGTTGATGTATCTTGGGTCCTCAGAGTACGTTGACTAAAAAGTAGGTCACCTTGACCTACTTTTTAGCTCACCTGAGCTGAAAGCTCAAGTGAGCTTTTCTGATCACCCGTTGTCCATCGTCCGTCCGTCTGTCTGTCCATCTGTCCATCTGCCCGTCTGTAAACTTTTCACATTTTCAACTTCTTCTCAAGAACCACTGGGCCAATTTTAACCAAACTTGGTACAAAGTATCCTTGGATGAAGGGGAGTTTAAATTGTTAAAATAAAGGGCCAAGTCCCCTTACAAGGGGAGATAATCCAGAAAAGACAAAAATAGTGTGGGGTCATTAAAAAATCTTCTTCTCAAGAACCATTGGGCCAGAAAAGCTGAAACTTATGTGGAAGCATCCTGGGATAGTGTAGATTCTAAATTGTTAAAATCATGACCCCGGGGATAGGGCGGGGCCACAATAGGGAATCAAAGTTTTACATTGAAATATATAGCAAAAATCTAAAAATCTTCTTCTCAAGAACCACTGGGCCAGAAAAGCTGAAACTTATGTGGAAGCATCCTGGGGTAGTGTAGATTCTAAATTGTTCAAATCATGACCCCCTGGGGTAGGGCAGGGCCACAATAGGGAATACAAATTTTACATTGAAATATATAGGAAAAATCTTTAAAAATCTTCTTCTCAAGAACCACTGAGCCAGAAAAGCTGAAACTTATGTGGAAGCATCCTGGGGTAGTGTAGATTCTAAATTGTTCAAATCATGGCCCCCAGGGGTAGGGAGGGGCCACAATAGGAAATACAAGTTTTACATTGAAATATATAGCAAAAATCTTTAAAAATCTTCTTCTCAAGAACCACTGAGCCAGAAAAGCTGAAACTTATGTGGAAGCATCCTGGGATAGTGTAGATTCTAAATTGTTCAAATCATGGCCCCCAGGGGTAGGGTGGGGCTACAATAGGGAATACAAGTTTTACATTGAAATATATAGCAAAAATCTTTAAAAATCTTCTTCTCAAGAACCACTTAGCTGGAAACGCTGAAACTTATGTGGAAGAATCCTCAAGTAGTGTTCACTCTAAATTGTTCAAATCATGACCCCAGGGATAGGGCGGGGCCACAATAGGGAATCCCAAGTTTTACATTGAAATATATAGGAAAAATCTTTAAAAATCTTCTCAAGAACCACTGGACCAGAAAAACTGAAACCTATGTGGAAGCATCCTGGGGTAGTGTAGATCCTAAATTGTTCAAATCATGGCCTCCGGGGGTAGGGCGGGGCCACACTAGGTATTACAAGGGGGGAAGTCTGGTAATGAACAGCATGGCCTAAGTTACTCAGGTGAGCGATGTGGCCCATGGGCCTCTTGTTGAATTTTCTGGCTAATCTTTTTCAAAACAATTAAGGTCATTAATTGAATACTGAGAGGTTTAGAATCATTAAATCTTGTAAGATGATGCATATTGGGGCCATAAAACATATTTATTAAAAAGTAGGTTACCATGACCTACTTTTTGAACTTTGCAGGCATTCGATTTCAAAGCATTTTAGAGGCATAGTTTGGACATTTTAAGGCCTATGATCATAAAACTTTGTAAGTTGATGCATCTTGGGTCCTCAAAAAACGTCAACTGAAAAGTAGGTCACTGTGAACTACTTTTCAATTTATATGACTATAATTAAATATATCAGGTATTAATTGGCTTAGAATCATCAAACTTTGCCAGTTGATGCATCTTGGGTCTTTGGAGTAGGTCGACTGAAAAAGAGGTCACCGTGACATACTTCTGAAATTTTATGGCTTTAATTAAATATTTTGGGTACTAATTGGCTAAGAATCATCAAACTTTGTCAGTTGATGT